GTAGTGTCTTTATGGTCATGTGATTAGAATGTGGGCACTTGGCAACAGGTGTGTGTTTACGATGATGCATTGTCCCAGGAGTCACATAATGGCTTCTTGTAGTTTTCCCGGAGGGGCTTCTGAGAAGCGAAGTCAACAGAGAAGCCAGATTTGCTTAACAACTGTGTGATTTGTTTAATGATTGTGGCAGAAGAGTTCATAAAATCATTTGTAACTCATTAACAACTATATAACTTGGCAATGAAAGTTCCAGTTTCAACTGACGTCATAAGTTGAGGACTAGCTATATATTAAGGCTCATAAAGGCAGATGCAGGAAGTCCATATAGCAGGAAGTTCATATAGCTCATCAGCAAGTTGCATCTTCTTTATGTCTCCATCTCCTTTTTTCTAGCATCTTTTTTTTTAAAAAAATCCACCCTCCGATCTGCTAGTCACAAAGACTTCTCAAAAGGAGTGACCCAAAAGGAGTGACCCAAAAGAGTTTGAAGCATTTTCTATATTATTTCTTCCACTCAGTTTCCTTACTTTCTTATTGACATTGCCCCTAAACCATCTCAAGAACCTTTACACGGTTTAGCAACAACTTCCAAAAGGTGACACAACTCCAAAGGTGTACATGTGCCTTTCCCATCTTGTTTGTTTTTGATGGCAGTTTAAAATATGAAAGTTACCTTCCACAGTGAACAAACACTGAAGCAAAAGGTTGTTTGAGTCCTGAGGGTTAGGAAAGGGAGAAAGACAAGTGGTTAATGGTTTGCACAGCATGGACTGACCAGTTAATATTTAGACAGACTTGCACTTTGTGTCAGATAAAGTCACCTCCATCCCCAGCATATTCCATTAAGAACTGTGCCTCACTTCAGGCAAGCTCCAGCCTGGCAATTGCTGTTCGCACGCATGAAGTTAAAAAATACTCTTCCCACAGTCCTCAGGGGGAAAAGGTGTGCCAGAGCAGAAAGGATGAAAGCCAAGAGGAGGGCAACAACCAGCTAGCTATAATGAGGAAGAACATGGGAGGTGGGTCCAGGACAAACTAGGGGAGTGATGGATAAGGTAGCCATATTTGAATCTTAGAGAGGTCCACAACTATTGTTACAAAATGGCAGCCAAACACAGGTGGCTGTCATGAGAAATGTGAGTGATCACACAATGCAGCTTTCACCAAATGGAAATCTGAAAGCTATTTGGAAGAGATTTTTTATAAACCAGAAAAGGGAACTGAAGATCACAATTCAACCTCATTTTCTTCACCTCCTCAAATCTTCTACCCCTTTCCCATCATTCTCTAGTCCCAGCAGACAATAACCATACCCTGGCTTCTTATCCAGCTACAGCAAACCAGGGAGTTGCTTGAAATATTTCTGGTTACTTGCCTTTTACTTTTAAGAAAATACAAATACTTTAAAACGGAAATTATCAGTAAGGTATTTCTTGAGTGATTTCCTGAGAGGTTATAATACAGAAGTGCTTACAATGATTGAGACAGAAGATAGTAGAAGTAGTCCTCAACTTACAACAGTTCATTTAGAGACTGTTCAGAGTTACAATGGCACTGAAAAAAGTGACTTATGACTGTTTTTCACACTTTTGACCATCCCCCACAGTCACACGATCAGGATTTGGATGTTTGGCAACTAACTCATATTTATGATGGTTGCAGTGTCCCAGGGTCATATGATCCGCCTTTGAAACCTTCTGACAAGCAATGTGAATGGGGAAGCCAGATTCACTTAACAACCGTGTTACTAACTTAGCAACTGCAGTGATTCACTTAACAACTGTGTCACAAAAGGTCGTAAAATGAGCCAAAATTCACTTAACAAATGTTTCACTTAGGAACAAATATTTTGGGGTCAATTGTGGTTGTAAGTCAAGAACTACCTGTACAAGTGTTACTAGTATCTCTCTCTCTCTCTCTCTGTCTGTCTGTCTGTCTGTCTGTCTGTCTCTCTCCCTCTCTCTCTCTCTCTCTCTCTCTCTCTCTCTCTCTCTCTCTCTCTCTCTCTCTCTCTCTCTCTCTCTCTCTGTGTCTTCAGTTGGTGACTGCCTGGACAAGTCTGTACAATTTTTCTGGAAATATTTCAGAATTTGTCCTTGTCTTCTTTGTAGGGCTGAGAGAGAGTGTCTGGCCTGATCCAAAACCATTCAACTAGCCTCATGTAGAATTTACAGTCTCCTGTTTTGAGCCTGGTGCCTTTAACCACTACATCAAACTGGCTTTTGTTGCTAACTTGTATCCTTTACTCTTTGCATGGTTGAACCAAAGCATTTATCTTCAACTTGCATTAACCCGGCTCTTCGTTCACCCTACAAACTGAATTCCCATTATACGAAGACACACATACTCTGCACAACCATTCGTCATTTGTTACTGTGAAGCTACTTTCTCATTAATGCCCATTCCTTCCATTCTTGAATCAGCAGAAAAGTGTATTATATGACATAATTTGCTTTGCCCGCAAGGCCAAACTTTACTTAGTCTCAGCAATGAGGGCAGGCAATGATGTTGTCCCTACAGTTTCAATGCAAAATAGTTTCAGAACTGCTCTCTTTCCTCTCTCACCCAGCATCGCTACTAGCAGAAAAAGACACCACTTTTACCCAAAGCAAATGGTAAGGTGCAATGAGAGGACTTCAAGATCTGCCTCTTCTTCATCCTACTGATTAGTCAGCCAGAATTTATTTATTGGACAATGCTCACATATATAGGTAAATTTAAACCTGCAGGTTACAATGATGCTCAGATTATATCAACAGTTCCTTCCTCATATATCCAACTTGGGACTCCAGGGAAATAAGCTTATCGGTTCCCATGAAGACCAACGGTTCTATGGCAAGTGGGAAACTACAACAACAGGGATAACAATGCCCTAGTTAGCAGATCTAGTCTGCTCAAGCAACATGTCCTGTCTCTCCTGCACCCAACTTAAAAAAGTATAGAAGGCCGTGCTCAGAATGTGTGGACAAGAGAATTACCAATGCTGTGTTTAAAAAGAGAACACCAATTTTTAAATGCTGATATTCCAAGTGGTGGATATTCCTGAATCAGAAACAGAAACAAAAATAAATGCTCTACAAACAGAGGCTATCCAATAGAAGCCAAAACAGCTAGAAAGGGCAGTACCTATTGATCAGATGTAGGCAATCAATAGGATCTGGGTATCATTACTGGTATTATCACTGGGAGCAGGGAGTCCTTAACTTATGACCACAATTGGGATCAAAATTTCTGTTACTAAGTATGGTTAAGTGAGTTGCACCAGATTTTACAATAGTTTTTGACAATGCTGATAAGAGAATCGTGGAATTGTTAGAGGAGTCGTGCAGTTGTTGTGAATCTAGCTTTCCTTATTGAGTTTGTTAGTTGGAAGCCAGCTGGGAAAGTTGTAAATAGTAATCACATGACCCTGGGATGCTGCAACCATCATAAATATATGCTGGTTTCCAAGTGCCCAACTTTTGATCATCAGGCCATGGGGATGCTGCCACAGTCATAAGCATTATGACCACTCGTAAAACACCTTTTTTCAATGCTGTTGTAACTTTTACTGCTGTCATTAACCATCACTAAATGCAGGGGTCTTCAAACTTGGCAACTTTAAGACTTGTGGATTGAGGCTGGCTGAGGAATTCTGGGAATTGAAGTCCACAAGTCTTAAAGTTGCCAAGTCTGAAGACCCCTGACCCAAATGGATAGTAAGTAGAAGACTATCTCTATATGGCAAGACTTGTGTGGGAGAAGAACAAAAATATATCTCTATAGACAGAACATTTAAAGGTGGTCCTCAGACTGCATCTGGAGTGGTTGAAGAATGGATAGAGGTGATATTATGAGAACATGCCTCTTAAAAATAATTAGTGAGACATGGCATTCTGTGGTAGGAGAGAGATGAGGATGAAACAGTATATAATGACTCTTGGCTTGGCAACTGAATGAAAATTGGTTGAGAATCTGGATAGAGCATAAGATGGCTGGGCAACTCTTTCCTACTTTGATGAGACAAATAGAACTATTTCTCTATTCAGACGATCCTAATTATTTCTAAAGTAAAATTCAGACCCACACAAAAATGGGTCTGTACATTGTTTTGTCTTGTTTGGGATAATGTGAACTTCCTTACCTATTTGCAAATAAAATAAAAAGAATATGATCATGTAGTCAGACAGCACAGCAAAATTCATGGTGAAATCCTTGGGCATTGTTATGCTGCCAGGTTTATAGTTATGTTGCACTACTTGTGTGTCTAAGGAGATTAAACCAGCACCTTAAGAGCCTTTTCTCTTCAGGTTTGCTTTGAAATGTTTTGGAGGTCTTTTTGGGATTTATGAAATTCTTGATTAGCTCTAAATACAAACCAGTGAAAATCAGCTCAGCTTTCTTGGCTTACCTGAGTTGAGTCAGAACAAACAGGAAGCTGTCTCAGAAAAAAAAAAAAAAAAAAAAAAAACCTGTGAAGCTGCAAATGCTTTTAAGCTATTTTTGTATAAATTTTTTCCTGCTTGTTTTTTGTTACAGTTGCAAGCACTTTCTCCCACAAAATCAGGTAGCAGAAATGTGTAGATCCTATAGCATGGGAAAAAAAGCTAGATTATATAATTTATTTCTCTGTCAAGAAATAAGTACTCCTTATATAGGATAATATGCCACAAGTTAGAAGTGGAATGGGAAACAAATTAACACCTACAAGTTTTTTTTTAAATGCAGCAGCAAGTATATGTGGATTTGATCAAGATAGTGCATATAAGTGTTGTTTTGTGAAATCTTTGTTTCTGTTCAAAACCACTTTAACTAAGATGTTAAAAGCTTCGGATAGGGCATTTTGATCAACAAAATGCTTACAACCAAGGGGCAAACTTCCATGTAGAATTTTCTTTTGATCAAATTCAAAGCAACTGTATTATAAAAACAAACATAGATGAATCATTTTACAAATTTTACAGATGACATCTAATCTGTGATTTTACTTTTGTGTTCTCTGTTAATATTGCTTGCCAAAGCTGGTTGGGAAGCACACAAGTGGCACTCACGTAACTGCAGGACACTGTGATGGTTGTAAATGTGCGATGCTCCCAAATGGCAACCACGTGTCAGCAGGATGCTGCAATGATCACAAATGTGAGTATTGGTCTCAAAGTTGGTTTCTTTACACCTTTGAAACATTTATTAAATAAGGAAGTCAGTTAGCAAGGATACCTGAACCTCAGATCAAAAACAATGCAGTGGATGTCACACAGTTCTCTGCAATACAGTAGTCTCAAAATGCACAATCTGATGCCTATTTAAAGATAACATATTGTTTAAATAAATATGGGGTAAATATTTAAATGCATACAGTTAGTTTTTGAAATGCAACCACAGCTGAGCCTCAAATTTATGTTGCTAGGTGAGACATTGTTAAGTGAGTTTTGCCCCATTTTACAACCTTCCTTGCCACATTTGTTAAGTGAATCACTGTTAGTAACATGGTTGTTAAGTGAATCTGGCTTTCCCATTGATTTTGCTTGTCAGAAGGTCGCAAAAGGGGATCACATGCCCTTGGGATACAGCAACCGTCATAAGTATGAGTCAGTTGCCAAGCATTTGAATTTTGATCGCATGACTATGGGGATGCTACAATGGTCGTGTGAAAAATGGTCATATGTCACTTTTTTCAGTGCTGTTGTAACTTTGAATGGTCACTAAATGAAGTGTGATAAGTCAAACACTACCTGCAGTTATTTTTTAAAAAATGTTGTGAATGTAGCCTTCTTCCCAAACATTCATAATAAGGGAAAGGTGCTCTTTGTTACAAATAATCAGACATTTGAGCCACCCACCCAGCTCCCTTGCTGGAAACAAAACAGACTGGTTTACAGACACAAATCTAAGAGAAGGTATGAACTGAGGCTGGAAAAGCATGGGGCTAATACTGTTTGGCGTTTCTAACAGAGAAATGTAAATTATGACAATTTACAATGCAAATGGGGCTGACCATGTAAATGGAGCTGAACAGTTCATAATTCAGTCTCTGTCTTAGCAGGTTCTGCAAATCAGCCCATCGTATTAACCCATAATGTAGTTTGCTTGCTTGCTTAGTCACAGCATAACCATCAAATATAGCAATTGGTCTTTGTATGGAGTGGATCCATGCCTTAAACAAAAAGATAAAAATTTTACATTTCAAATTTTGCTTTTCTATCCCTCTATCTGAAAAACAGGCATGACAGATGCTACGGTTAGTTTTGAAAACAGGATGTTGATGGCAACATCCATTTTCTTTTTCTTCCCTTCACGTCATGCTAATTAGGCTATACCTAGCTGTGTCCCAGAAGGAGGATATGACAAATGAAAGCAAGTTTAGAAAACAACAACAAAGATGGTTGGTTGTATAAAAAAAGAAAACAAGAGCTAAATCATAAATTTTATGAACAAAGATGAAAGGAAATGAATATTTTTAGCTTAGAGAATAACTGAATGACATGATTACTTTCTTCAAATCCCTGAAGAAACTAAGGAGCTGTTTGCGTTAATTTTAATGGACTTTCATTTCAGCAGATTAAAATTTAAATATTGGTAGAAACGCTATGACAGTAAGAATATTTCATCTGTAGAAGAGTTATCATGGTTACATGAGTGGTAGTTACTGTTTTGGAAATCTTTAAGCCTTGCTCTGGGAGTGTTTGCCACTGTTTTCTACCCTACTTTCTCTCAAAATGAGTGTGAAAATAGATGATACACAATATTTTTCTTCACAGTAAATCTTACAATGCTGAGAACCAAAAGCCAAATATTTACTCCTAGGAACTCATTCTTTTAACAAACTTGGTTTCCAAGGACAAGACTAGAAAATATTTTTATATCAAGTCAGCACTATTTATGTAATACTATAGCTGTTAATTAAAATGTGTTTTGTTGCCTGCCTGGAGCAAATACATTGTAGTTTAGAAATTCAGCTGGATTGTTTTGGGTGTATCATGGTCTACTTCAGGGGTGTGAAACTCGCAATGTCATGTGACATGTCATGACGTATCGCAATTTTTTTTCCATTGCAATGGAGTAGGCACAGTTTTGCCATGACGCATCCGGCTCGCGGGCCGGCAGTTGACACCCCTGGTCTACTTGAACTGAAACATGGATCATTTTGGTTGTTTGAAATATTAGACAAGATAAAAATCCAGAGGTATTCTACAAGCTGAGTATAGCAAGTTTGGTGTTCTTTCTTCACAATTTTTTCTTGAATGAGCCGAGGTGGCGCAGCAGTTAGAGTGCAGTACTGCAGGCCAATTTAGCTGACTGTGTTCAGCAGGTCAGCGGTTCAGATCTCACCAGCTCAAGGTTGACTCAGCCTTCCATCCTTCCGGGGTAGGTAAAATGAGGACCCAGATTGTTGGGGGCAATGTAAATATATATATATATACATTGCTTACTGATGTACACCGCTTAGAGAGTGCTTGCACTTAAAGCAGTATATAAGTCTCATAAATAAATAAATAAATTTTTCCACTTGGTTTGTGCATCATGAAGTTCACTATTTTCATAGAAATATTATCTTCCTTCCCCTTCTTCACCAACATGCAAGGGTGGCATGCTTGTTGGCCCAGTGAGGTGTACTTGAGGCATATTTCAATATTTATATTGAACAAATTTCTGTAATGGAATTCTTAACACAGCTAGGCAAGTTCAAGGAAGCAAGAATTACTCAGACATTAGTAAGGGAGCTTCCATGCGTGTCCATGAATAAACAGAGAATTTTGGAAACCCCAAAATGACTTTCAAACCCTCATTTAGAGTGGATTTATCAAAACAAAGTCTCTTTGCATTTTTTAAAATGCTTATTCCTAGTTTATTTATTATCTGGGCTAAACTGCTATTAATAAGATAAGCTATCAACTGACTCCTCTGTATGTTGATTATATTACTCGTTTGTTTGTATGTATATTGAGAGCTTATGCACAGGAGAAAAATTCCTTGTGTGACCAATCCTACTTCGCCAAATAAAGTGTTCTATAGGTAGTTCTCAACTTACGACCACAATTGAACCCAAAATTTCTGTTGTTAAATGAGAATTTTTAAAGTGAGGTTTGATCCATTTTATGACATTTCTTGCCACATTTGTTAAGTGAATCAATGCAGCTGATAAGTCAGTAACCTGGTTATTAAGTGAATCTGGCTTCCCCAATGACTTTGCTTGTCAGAAGTTTGCAAAAAGTGACCCTGGGACACTGCACCGGTCATAAGTATGAATCAGTTGCCAAGAATCTGAATTTTGATCACATGATCATGGGGATGCTGCAAAGGTTGAAACTGTGAAAAACAGTCATAATTCACTTTTTTCACTGCCATTGTAACTTTGAACGGTCATTAAATGAACTATTGTAAGTCAAGGACTACTTGTATTCTGTTCTGTTCTATTTCATCTTTTGACTATTTAAGCCTAAACTCCCTTCCAAATTTAGGTTATTAACCTTAGATGTAGCTACACCATAGGCAGCATTCTCTCTAATATCAATAATAGTTTGATATATGTGGACTAGTATATTTGGACTACTCTAGAAAGAGTGCAGAGAAGAGCAACAAAGATGATCAGGGGACTAGAGGCTAAAACATATAAGGAACAGTTGCTGGAATTGGGTTTGTCTAATCTAATGAAGAGAAGGACGAGAGATGACATGACAGCAGTGTTCCAATATCTCAGGGGCTGCCACAAAGAAGAGGGAGTCAAGCTATTCTCCAAAGTGCCTGAAGGCAGGACAAGAAGCAATGGGTGGAAACTAACCAAGGAGAGAAGCAACCTAGAACTAAGGATAAATTTTCTGACAGTTAGAACAATTAATCAGTGGAACAACCTGCTTCCAGAAGCAGTGAATGCTCCAACACTGGAAGTTTTAAAGAAGAGACTGGACAGCCACTTGTCTGAACCCTAACCCTAACCCTAATCCTAACTCTAGATGACCTCCAAGGTCCCTTCCAATATTGTTGTTGTTGTTGTTGCTGCTGCTGCTGCTGCTGCTGTTGTTGTTGTATGCCATAAATGCAGGCCAAACCCAGTTTTAACCCAAGAATGCTCACATTGTTCTATGTAAATTGGTTTCTCTAATCCAGTAACAATCTTGTAAACCAACCTACTCTTATCACCAAATTGGAGATACTGACAATCCTCAGGACACTTAAATAAATGTTCCTTTAGCATGGAGCATTTACTTACTCTCTACTTTTTCTTTTGCCTTCCGGTCTCATTTTTAAATGTGTACAGAAATCTATATCTTTGTTCAAACTAATCATATATCTTCTATTGATGGCATTATAAATATGTGGGCTTTCCTGTCTTCCCTGACTTTAAAAACCCTCTAAAGTTGATGTAATTCTTACTCAACAGCTTGATTTGGAAGAATTACACTGAAAAAGCAACTTGCAATTAGACAGCATCCGTGCAGCTAAGTTCTTTGTAAACACACTAAAGCAAGAGGATTCGTGCCTCTTGTTTCCTCAGATTAAATATATCTTGTTCTTAGATTTATACTGGCATTTTATGGCCTCTGCAAATGACTATCTCAGCATTGCAAAGTAATTCCAGTCTGTCATATTTGTCTTTGGAAATTGTAACAAATTATGGTGATTTATAACGCCCAACTCAACTCTCCTTCCCTCTACTGTTCAAAAGGGAATGAAGCTGATGGAAATATTCTCTGCCATCTATTTATTCTGTGTGGAGGTTGACAGTGAAACATGTTTCATCTCTCCTGCGTGAAACACTCCTTTCTTTTGAGGGGATCCTGTCAACATAACTCAAGCTGTCAGGGGACATTTTGCAATGGGCCCTGAAACAAATCTAACATCTCCACTACCTCCATGCTTACTAATGAGGCATGACTGCCTTCTTCTACATGGCTGACCTCACTGAATCTCCTTGCCTTTGACCCTGGTGGTTTCTCTTCAGTCCATAGAAGTCATGGCATCATTTGTCATCCCACTAAGGGCAGGTGATGATGAGAATGCCAAGAAAACTGTGGGAAGAATGTACTTCCTGCTTTCTAGCTTTGGCTGACATTTTTTGGTAACTGTTTCCTCTCTCCCTCCCCCTCATTTGTACACCATGCTTGAAATTTAGGGATTCCCCAGTCCAGGAAATGTAAAAA